ATAATAATAATAATAATAATAATAATAATAATAATAATAATAATAATAATAATAATAATAATAATAATAATAATGAATTTTCCGGCCAACGGAGGATATCACTGATTATAAACTCGCGGTAATTCGGCCGTTTTGTAGCGCTTGGCCTTTATAGCCGCGATATCGTCCCAGACATGAGCGTCATTTAACCGCTGAAGACACACGGCCGGTGCATAGGTGATCGTCGAGATTGTAAGTCGTAGAGTATGCGCGATGTAAATCGCGGTGACCGTGGCCTGCCCGCGGGATCGATTAGCTCTGGCCTTAAAACAATGCTAAACATTTCGCTTAAGAATATAACGCGATCCAGTACGCGCTGATCGATTTCTTTCCCCGGCGAACGGAAAGTTGTAAAGAGACATAAGAAACGCGCGAGCGGATCGAACGAGCGAGGAAATTACCAAGTCCACTCGCGTGATCGCCATAATTCCTCGGGGATGATCCGACCCCTGGAAAAGACGGCAACAGAAGGAAGATATTCGTCCGCGGGCCGAAATGTAGAAATAGTGTTTGGATATGATTCCCCAAAGGCCCGGAGGGTGTTGTAAATAAAGAATGTAAGCGCGTCGGTATACAGTTATCGGAACAAACTGTGCAATACATTGCAGAAAATTGCAATTGACTTTATCAATCAAGCCCAGAAAGCTTCTATTTATGCCGAAGTCGATTAAACTGTCAATTTCTGAGTTTCTGTTTATTCATCTTTTTTGGTAAACGCGAGTTTAATTAACAATTAATTTTAACTTAGTCAAATATTTGTTATTATTGCTGATAATGAACTGAAAGCACCATTTCCTGCATCTATAAAAAAAACGGCATTATTTTCAATATCGGAATTTATTTAGGATTGCGTTGATTGATGCAAATTCGAGTCACGAGAATACAGTAAAGAGCAACGTTCAACGGTACGTTATTTAGAAGTTTACTTGCTTAGTATGCGCATAATTATTTTTGTTAAAGCTAAAGCTTGCCCATTAGCCTTGTCCTCTGGGTTCTGTCGGGTCAACCATAGTTGATCAGGTGGGTCAACGTCGGGTACGACGTCACTATCGCGTGATTTACGGGACCGACATAGGTATTTGTTCCGGTGAACGTTCCCTTCAACATATATCCGACCTTCCTTTGAAGGTGATCGCGGGTAAGGACAGCTCTGACAGCTTCTTTCAAGAGAGGCTCACTGTCGCAACGTGGAAGCTTAAATGGACCAGATGTACCTATTTGAAAAGAGAACAAATGACGTGTGTTAAGAAGCGGCTGGTGATTTTGACAAATCATTCTTGACATAATTTGAGAGACTTAAAAACTTCTAATCTTACCAAAAGCGGCATCGATTGTTACGAAGTTCTCTAATAACAGGAGAACAGGATA